TCAGTGTCTGCTCAATGTTTTAAAAACAAGACCCCCCCTGAATTCAATAAAGGGGGACTGAGCACAGGGGGTGGAGACACGGGTGGGGCTATTCAACTAAATGGAGATCTAGGTCCCCCACGCCTCCACCCATGAGTAGCGGGTGGGGGCCCAAGTGACAAATGGGGGTATCATCTGTCTCACGCCCATGGCCACCACCGATTGTCGACAGGTGGAGGCTTATATGTAAAAATAACTCCCAATAAGTGATTAGGGAACCCCAAGTCCTAAGTCAACCCCCCTAATAAAATAAAACCCAGCCCATCCGCCACACCCAAATAATAATAGCAATAAACTAAATACTTAAATAAATAAAATAAAAAAGGCCCAATTGCAAATAAACCCCCCCCCCCAAAAAAAAAATCCAGGCGCTAAAAAATAATGCATCTTTACAGCAAGAGTTCTGCCAGACTGAGCTCCATAGGGCTCCTTCTCATGACCTGCAATTCATTCAGAGCCCTCTGATTGGTTGACTTAAGCCAACTAATCAGAGTGCTCTGACAGGTTAATCTTGAGTCTTGCAGGTAAGGCAGGTGGGGCTCTTTATTGGATTGGGGGTAGGGACTTTTTTTTTACAACTGTGAGCTAATAGATATACCTTTACTCACAGGAAGGGGCAAGAGGAAGATTTTTTTCCCTTATTTACTAATACTAAGACATTTTTACTTAGTCTTAGTAAAGTTGACGGAAAGACCACTTTTTTTGTGGGAATTAGAGGGCTATCTACTAAGCTGCTGCAAGGTGCAGCCGCAGCACAAATCGGATCGGGATTTAATTCTCTCAATGAAATTCCGAACCAAAAAAATGCCTGAATTTCACCCTAACACGAAATTACAAACTGTACACAATCTAATTCTGTGAATTTGCCAGCACCGTAGTCTATATTGCAATGAATCAACGTATATCACAGAGGAAGGGTGGGCATTGTGGGAAATTTTTCTTTGAGAACAGGAAATGGAGCTGACTTAAGCTCCTCCTTTGGTCAAAGAAGGTCAAGCGAAGGAGAAATACATACGATAAAGTAGTCCCTACTTTATCTTATGTTTTAAAGAAAATTAGATCAGAATCGAACAAAATAACAGATTCTGAGAGAGAAAGAGAACAGGAAACAACAGGAGAAAAGTAAGCTCAGCGTGACAGTGCCACTTCAAAAACAATATATATATATATTTATATATATTAATTTATTTATTTATTTTTAATTAGCGTGTTTTTCTTTTAATTCAATAATGTGTAATATTCTGAAACATTATTCCAGCAATCTTCTTTAAACAGTTCACCATCTGTTCTATATATTCTAATCTGATTTAAAGAGATTGCTATTTATTGTGATTATGCACCAAAACAAGGTTGAATCTTTTTAACCGCTTAAGGACACATGATGGAAATATTCCATCATGACTCAATTTTATTCCAGAAGTTGTGTCCTTAAAGGGTTAAGGACATAAAAGGAGGTCTTTAAAGCAGCATGTGCTATAGTTTAATTACCAAACTTCAAGGAACACTACAGGCACCCAGACCACTTCATCTTAATGAAGAACACTGCTTTTATTGCAGGATTTAAATGCCTGAAGTGGCTGTCACTCAGACAGACACTAGGGATGCTTCCGTAGAAATACAGACATCCCAAGTTTGGAATGCGGCCTTCTGACGCCTGCAAATCACATACAATATTTCAGAAATTACCCACACAATCTGATGTGCGTGTGTGATTTCCATTATATTGTATATGATTTGCACCTCCAAACCCCCCATAATACTTGCTAAACAGGGGCCCAGACAGGGGAATGTCTGGAAATAGCAGAGCTATTTCTATCAATCGTTTTAGAGATCATCTGATTGGCGCAACATGGCGTTTTGCTACAGATGCCTCCAATGCCTCACAAGTTTTTGGTCACTGTGTGAATATTGCTGTCATGATAGATGCCCCTACAAGGCAGCTAAAATGTTGCCAAGAATGTAGCTAATGAGTAATATCATTAATTACAGCCATGCACATATTTTATTCAATGTAAAATTATGACTGGTAAGCAACTAATTATCAGCAACTAGCTTATCATATCAGAACCACAAGAATAAGATAACCAGTTATCTGCTGCTAAAAATATATATGGTTATTTATAGTATTTAAGTGAGTGCAGAGTCATATGATGGAAGGAATAAGAAACAAATAATAAAGACTTATTCCACTTTGTATGGTACAATTCCTACCATAAATATTCACCCCCTTCTCCATATCACCCAGGACATACTTGAAAACGAGAGAAATGTCAATGTATCCATCCTGGTAAAATATTTTATAAATAAATTTGTTGTCACAACCTGGAATGTTTATTTTCTATTGATTGATTTGGGGTTATTTTAGATAAAAATCTGATTATCACTGCAAAGTTTACGAGTGAGAGTCTCCTAATAGACTAAAGTGTCTACTTTTAGGAAGTAGTGGCTATTCAACGTCTGCCAAAGGTAGTTACTGGGAACTGCTACTAAAATTGCCAGTTGCTAACAGCTCCTATTATCTTCCATGGGAAAGCATCATTACTACTTATTACTAGCTAGTCTCTACCAACTAAAGTGCCCATTGCTACTTCTAGGAAGTAGTGGCTATTTAACGTCTGCCATATCGAGTTATGTGAACTGCTACTTGACATATGCATAGTCGCCTTTTTCGGCCTATGCTTAACAAATCCCCCCCACCCCCAAAAAAAGTTACTCAGACACCTTTATTTTGGAAAAATTATGACAACTTTAATAATATAAATAATACTCTTGGCCACTGCCTTGTGATCCGTAGCGTGGCGCCATTGTAACTGCTGTACCATCTCCGACAATAAGACAACTACGTCAGGGACCAGCTGCCTCAGCCTATTCAAATCCTCCTTTATCCTGATGAATAAATCCCTTTGGGAAACCAGACTAAATCATTGCACTAAAACTCAAAAACAAACTTCTTGCCAACTGAAACCCTTAAAACAAAACCACTAAATTTGCACCAATGAGCGCGGAAAGCATAGCTGCATGCCTTGACGACGAACTGTGGCTCTCCGTTGTGCCCAGTATACATACAAGTGTCCCATCACCCAAGCAATCCAACCTGTGGAAGAAAAACATGTTACCAACAGAGAACAGACATAACCACTTCACCCTATACTTACATCAAATGGTTGGGCCTTACATATGACTTGAATCTTATCGATTCCCACCTCCCAATCTTCTTGACCAGGTCATCCCCTAAACCCAACCGAGATGCCTCTGTCGCAGCCCCAATCTTGAACGTGTGTGTACCAAACTACAACGGACCCAAACCTAAATGCCCCAAGGCCAACCAAAAGATCCTAAGGAACTGACATTTAGACAATGAAGAACCATGCAACAAAAAAACAACCCCCATACCGTCGAACGTAACTCCTGGAAAACATAGAAACATAGAATGTGACGGCAGATAAGAACCATTCGGCCCATCTAGTCTGCCCAATTTTCTAAATACTTTCATTAGTCCTTAGCCTTATCTTATAGTTAGGATAGCCTTATGCCCATCCCACGCATGCTTAAACTCCTTTACTGTGTTAACCACTACCACTTCAGCTGGAAGGCTATTCCATGCATCCACTACCCTCTCAGTAAAGTAATACTTCCTGATATTATTTTTAAACCTTTGTCCCTCTAATTTAAGACTATGTCCTCTACGTACACACAACTGGACATGCCGCCAGACCCGGCACAGAAAAAAACGTAACCGCTGTAGCTTTTCTGAAAACAACAGTTTTGGAACGGTGTAGATGAATCACCCCCTGATTCTGCCAAAGTTCAACATCTGAACACTGTAACCCACCCCCACCCAAGCGGTTGCTGCTAACCAACATACTAATCCTAAACACCCCAAAAAAGGCCCAACTAAATGCCACTGAAAACAACAGAACCTTGTACTTCAAAAAACAAACCTCTGGAAACACACCGAGTAAATGCCCTCCATCTAAGCACCATAACATAATAGGTTTGAACAGTTTGGCACTTACCTGGGTCGCTCTGGCACCCTCCGGCCTTCCTGTCTTCTATGATCTAGCTCAACTTGAATTTCCCATTCTGCTTAAACAATATATGAATTTTGTCCAAATGAGGATGTAATTCATTGGCTGAGAGTGTCTTTCTAAAACACTGGAATGAAATACCTTCAGGACCTCTAGAATGTATTATATATTGTAATGTTGGAATATCACTGAATATGAAAAATATCCATGTGCAAATAGTGTACTCCAAAAACCAAACCAATCAGAAAGGATGTTGGGAAATTGAAACCAGGATGTAGACATTTTACTTTATTGATTTATAAGGATGTTTTTGTTGGGTTTATTTACTATACAGAAACTCATTGCACTTTATTTCGTCACTGTTCACAACAAAATATGCAGGTCTATTAAGACTGTGGGCTTGTCCTGATTCAGTATTTACATTCAGTATTTACATGAATATTTATGGAGCTGAACTCGTTTTAACATTTTTATTGAATAAAAAAAAAAAAAAAAACTAAATTTAATAATTGTATGCAGAAAACGTTAACCTGAAGTAAAACTAAAGTAATGTGATTTTATTCAATGAAATCTTGTATGTGTATGTTCCATTGACAATCCCAAGTAAATCCTCAGAGATCTGGACACCGGAATAATCTTCATCATTTACTCTATTACATTTGAGTATCTTTGGATTTTGTGAGTGGTTTCACTCTATTTTATAATTTTGATTCTACACTATGCATTTTACACTATGCATTTGTTGTCTTATAGATGGAAACTTCCTTCCACATATATGCTTTAGTTGCAATTATCATTGGACCAGAGGAGGCTCTATGGGGTTGTTGTCAGATTATAGTTATTCAATAAATTTTTTCGCATTGTTGAGTAATAATATCACACATGCACTTCTCCCACTTTTTTCTGTTAGCTAGGTCATGATTTATCATGGAAATGGAAAAACATCTCCAACCCAACTTCACCCTTCCTTCAAGGGCAAGTGTGAAAATGGAAAAAACATCTCCAACCCAGCTTCACCCTTCCTTCAAGGACAAGCGTGGAAACGGAAAAACATCTCCAACCCAGCTTCACCCTTCCTTCAAGGACAAGCGTGGAAACGAAAAAACATCTCCAACCCAGCTTCACCCTTCCTTCAAGGATAAGTGTGGAAACGGAAAAACATCTCCAACCCAACTTCACCCTTCCTTCAAGGATAAGCGTGGAAACAGAAAAACATCTCCAACCCAACTTCACCCTTCCTTCAAGGACAAGCGTGGAAACGGAAAAACATCTCCAACCCAGCTTCACCCTTCCTTCAAGGATAAGTGTGGAAACGGAAAAACATCTCCAACCCAACTTCACCCTTCCTTCAAGGACAAGCGTGGAAACGGAAAAACATCTCCAACCCAGCTTCACCCTTCCTTTAAGGAAAAGTGTGGAAATAGAGAAAAGAAACAATCCTAGCAAAGCCCCAAAAATTATGCCATGGTGTCTTCCACCACATAGTTCTGTCATTCACCGTCTCCTGATTTTTTTGTGCTTGATATTATCTGTAATTGCTCCTTCCACCAATTACACTTATCATATTAATCTTTCATCTCTCTCAGAATAAACAGAATTATCTTGGAACTCAAACCTCTTGCATAACTTGTAGCATTTCTGAAGATAGTTGAGCATCTTAATGTTTGCCAGGGATTCATTCAACCCACCTACTAACTCCATCTCCTAATCTAGGGCAAAAAGTGATATGATACAAATGTCCACCAAAACAATTGACCACCCGATTTTCATCTTGTAAAATGAAACAACTTATAATTAGAACAGGAACTGGCTTCAAATTAGTTTGACTACTGAAAAATAAAGCAATTACCAAATTTACATACCAAGATGCCCCTCTGGACAAATACTGCACTTGTAAAATGTTAAATAAAATGCATTATGGGATATGTACAAATGAAAAACATTCACATGTCTCCAGGGTGAGCACACACCCACCTATATCTTCCTGTATTTATCTCTTGTGGTCGGTGTGTGACACTGAAACTGTAGGTAACTTACTGTTATCCTGACTAATTCCAATGATTCCTTTCCTAGATATATATTTAATTAAATTGCAGATGATAAACTTATACTACATTTGCAAGCCTATCATGAAAGTGTAGGTGTTTTATTTCCTGTAAATCCAACTCATGCATTTACCTACTGTGTTAGCTTCCACCACTTCTGCTTGAAAATGATCTCCATCTATCCACAATCCCTCATGAGTAATAGTATAATATTCATTAGGTCACTGTGTGCCCCTACAAGGCAGCTGAAATGTTGCTAAGAATTTAGCTAATGAGTAATTGTCAGGGTCTTACCTGAGTTGGGAGTCTGTAGCGCAGATATGATGCTCACCCTTGCAGATAGCCACAGGCCGAGGTGGTCAGGTAAGAATTCACCTGGCCTGTGGGTCTGTGCACGGGGGCTGTGCAGGATGCAGTACCAATACGCAGGACAGGCAAGGACTGAACCAGCAGGATGGTCGAGGGATAGCCGAGGTCAAAGGATGCCAGAGGACAGGAACAACGAGGAGTAGCCAAAGTCAAGGGATGCCAGAAGTCAGAATAAACGAGTCAGGAAGCCGGGGTCAATAATGCGAAGCGATGAAACAGGAACACTGGAACAAACAGGATCAAGGACTTGACACTGAGCACAGGGCGAGGCTGGGTTTATATACCCTGCTGATGACTGATCAGAGTCAGGTGAAACACAGCCAAGTCAAGGTGCAGCCCCCAGAGTAGTAGCCATGTCAGGATGAACAGGATTGGAATCAGTCTTCACTGTAAATAGCTGCTGTGGCTCAGAGGTAGAAAGCAGGACCAGGACTGAGAAGATCCCCGGTTCAAGTCCCCTGTTGGGAACTCCAAGAGCGACCACGTCTTGCCGTCTGTCTATCAGGTGAGAACCGTGACAGTAATATCATGAGTTACAGCCATGCACAAATTCAATCAATGTAATATTCACCTCCTGTCATTAATAAAATTAAGATTATAGGTACACTAAAGCTAGCATAATCTACAGTTATCAGCAACTAGCTTATCATAGCAGAATCACTAGAATTAGATAACCAGTTATCTGCTGCTAAAAATATATTTGGTTATTTATAGTATTTAAGTGAGTGCAGTCATATGATACAAGGGATGACGTTGTTATAAAAATGTAAACAATAGCATCTGTAAATCTTACAAGTAGCAACAGGGAGTTGCCATAGTCCACCACTAAAATCCAGTCACTAACTTCTGCTATTTTTCTCCATGGGAAAAACTTGCCACTGGTTCCAACGTGGTCACTAATTTTAGTGGCAGGCCATAGGCAGAGCAATTGCCCCCACCCTAGATTATTATGTAAATATGTTTTTGTGATTATGTGTGTGTGTCGGTGATTATGTGTGTGAGTGACTATGTGTGTGTCTCTGATTATGGGATTATCTTGAGTCCTGGCATTTATGTGGATGTTACTTTGACAAGTACCACCTATCTAGAGATTGTTGCAGATTTCATAGCAATGGTGTTCCTGATGGCAGTGGCCTCTTTTAGAAGGATAATGCACCCTGTTCAGGATTGGTTTGGGGAACATGACAAAGAGTCTGTGTTGTTAACAGAGACATAACTAGAAACCACGGGGCCCCGGTGCAAAATTGCCGTGGGTCCCCCCCATACATCTATTTCCTACCCTACACATCCCCATCCCCCCACCCCCACCCACACATGTAGACAAACAGATACACATGCAGACACATACATACAGACACACACACACACACAGAGACCCATACATACAGACATGCATACATACACATGTAGAGACACACACACATGCACTCATAAACTCACAGACACACACACTCACAGACACACACACACACACACACACACTCAGACACACACTCACAGACACACACTGAAACACACATACACTTACAGACACACACCTACAGACACACTCTTACAGACACACAAACACTTATACACACACACACACTCAGACCCACTCACAGACAAACACATACACACACACACTCAGACACACACATACACTTACAGACACATACACATTCAGACACACACATACAGACACATACACTTACAGACACACACACAGTTACAGACACACACACATACACTTACAGACACACACACATACACTTACAGACACACACACACACTCACAGACAAACACATACACACACTCAGACACACACATACACATTCAGACACACACATACACTTACAGACACATACAGATTCAGACACACACATACACAAATTATTAATAATTAATGTCCACCCAGCCTCCCTACCTGGAGAGCTGGTGTAGATCTGTCCCTGGGGTACAGTGAGGCTTCAGACCGGCGGGTGGCAGAGTTCCTGTCAGACGCGGCGAGGGAGATGTGTTCTCTCTGCTCTGCTTCCTCACAGGCTGTCTACTGATGCCAGAAGCCGGAATATGGCGTCATATTGCAGCTCACGGCATTAGAAAATGGCGCGCGAGGGAACAGAGCAGAGAGAACACATTTCCCTTTCCGTGTCTGACAGGAACTCTTCCTAATGCCTTGTTGCCAGATACCACAGGAAATTATCAGAGGTCTCATAAAGTCCATGCCTCAGCGTATTTTTTGGCAGCACGAGAGGGACCTTCATGATACTTGGCAGGCGGTTTTAATTGTTGTGGCTGATAAGTGTATGCATTCCTAACAGGATATTGTTCTCCTCACCATTTAGAATTAGATTTTTTTTATTTTTTTTAAAAGGGGAGGGTGTGGTTTACTTGCCTTTTTCCAACTCCACGGCTCACTTTGTTTTCCTGGAGGCTTTCACATCTTTGTCTTCTAGTTCAACCCAGTGCTTCTCACAAGGGCGTGCATCTTAAGTGCTGCGCTTGTTCACTCAAATGCTTCTCATAGGGAAGCATTGAACCCAATGCTTCCCTATGATCAATATTTGATGATGTTCAACGTCAAACAACACATGGCCAAATCTAATTCAGTCATTGCCATGGAAGCACCCTCTCGTGACTGTCAGAGTAACAGCCACTAGAGGAGTGTATAGCCTGCAATGTAAACATTGTAGTATCTACAAAATGGCAATGTTTTATATAACAGGGCTAAAAGGGCAGGACCACTGCACCCAGACCACTTCTTTAAGGTGGTCTGGGTGGCTATAGTGGTCTTCTAAAGTCATAATTTTCCAATTCAGATTTTGTAATTAGGATCTTGGTAATTTTCAGCTTCAGGCCCATGAACCCCTTAGCTGTCACAAAATGCTCATCACACTAAGTGACCATGCGCACAACATACACAGCCACTAGATGCACAGCCTCTCTTCAGCCATTATGGTTTAATTTTGAAATGCAGGTTGTATTCACTTCAATTTGCAACAATTTACACTTCAGTGTATAATCCTGTCTGAGTGATATTGCTTAGTAGCCTTTTTATGCACTCATATATACACTAAATGCGCATTAGTGTGAGTTTTATTGTTGCAGAGTTCTGTGATGCATTCAAACAGTACAACTAAATGTATTGCTTTGGGGCTCTATGATATATTCATACACTCTGCACATAACTGTGTGTTTTATTGCTGAGCAACTCTGTTGTACACTCATTCACATTTCATATTTAAGGGAAACTATAGTGCCAGGAAAACAAACCCGTTTTCCCAATCCGTGCTCTCATTAGGATTTACCCATAGGAAAGCATTATTCAGTGCTTTAGTATGGGATTTTAGGGGACGCCTAACAAAAGTCACCTAACAGCCCGGAATTCCCACTAGTGGTGGAGTTAACCTTAGCAGGTAATTATTGCAATTTCTTAATAATAATTACCTTTGCAGGTTTAAGGGACCTGGGACAGTGGACACAAACCACTCAATTATTATTATTTTATTATTTATATAGCGCCAGCAAATTCCATAGCACTGTACAATGGCTGGATTAACAGACACGTAATTGTAACCTGACAATTGGATGCACAGGAACAGAGGGGTTGAGTGTCCTGCTCAATGAGCTTACATGCTAGAGGGAGTGGGGTATAATGACACAAAGGGTATAAGTAGGGGTAATGAAACAGGTTGCAAGAAAAGTAATCACTGAGAACTTAGTAGGTTATTTTTGACAGTTGCAGGAGAGGAGTCATGGGGGGGTGGGGTGAAAACCCGCTAACAGTTTAAATGATATGCTTTCTGGAAGAAGTGTGTTTTCAAAGATTTTTTAAATGAGTGGAGACTGAGTGAAAGTCTAACAGAGAAGCATATTTATAGCTGGGTGAAGGGGTGACAGTGTGTAGGGGCTGAAAGTGATTGGGGATGGTGATATTGTATGGGTGTCAGTGTGTGTATGGGGATGATAGAATGTGTGTGGGGGAGACTGTGTGTGTGCTGTATGGGCTGTATGGGAGGGTGACAGGGTGTGTGGAGAGGTGACAGGGTGTGTGTATGGGGGGAGTGACAGGGTGTGTGTGTGGAGAGGTGACAGGGGTTTTGGGGGGGACTGTGACGGTGTGTGGGAAGACAGGGTGGGGATGGCTGTGACAAGGTGTGGGTAGGAATGCTGTGAGAGGGTAGGGGGCCTGTGAGAAGGTAGGGGGCTGTGAGAAGGTAGATGGGCTGTGAAAAGGTAGAGAGGCTGTGAGAAGGTAGGGGCTGTGAGAGGGTAGGGGGCTGTGAGGTGGACAGGAGGCTGTGAGGTGGGTAGAGGGTCTGTAAGTGAATATGTGGTCTGTAAGTGGGTAGGGGGGCTGTATGGTGGGTAAGGGGGCTTTGAGTTGTTAGTGGGACTGTGAGTGGGTAGGAGGTTGTAAGGTGGGTAGGGGGGCTGTGAGTGGGTAGCGGGACTGTGAGTGGGTAGGGGGGCAGTGAGTAGGTAGGGGTTCTGTAAAGTGGGTAGGAGTTCTGTAAGGTGGGTTGCAAGGCTGTGACCGGGTAGGGGGACTGTTAGTGGGTAGGGGGCCATGAGTGGGTAGGGAGTCTGTAAGTGGATAGGGGTGCTGTATGGTGGGTAGGGGGCTGTGAGTGGGTAGGGGTACTGTGAGTGGGTAGGGTGACTGTGAGTGGGTAGGGGGGTTGTAAGGTGAGTAAGGTGGCTGTGAGTGGGTAGCGGGACTGTGAGTGGGTAGGAGGGCAGTGAGTAGGTAGGGGTTCTGTAAGGTGGGTAGGGGTTCTGTAAGGTGGGTAGGGGGACTGGAGTGGGTAGGTGGCACGTATTTATCTGCACATAAAAATGTGATTAATGGCATTTACTGTTCTGACAGGAAAAGTTGTGCCGAGCAGCAGTCAATCCACAGGAGGGTTTGTGCTGAGCAGCAGTCATGCAAATAGGAACCTGCTAACCAATCAGATCCACAGGAGGGGTATTTAGGCCCAGTTCTCCACTTGATCTGTGCCCTGTCCGGGTTTCCCTTGTGGTTGTCCGAGAGCGCGTTGTTGATTCTGGTTATTCTGGTATTTTGACTTTCGCACTGATTTTGACTTCCCTGTTTTCTGGCATCCCTGACCCCTGGCTTTTCCTTATCGTTGTGTCTCTTTCTGTGTCCCTTGATCTCGGCTATTCCTGACTATTCTTTGGTACATCATTCTAAGGTCCGGTATTTGTTACCTATCAGTCCTCTGTGTTACACAATTCTACATGCTGGATCATACTGTAATCCTGACAGTAGGAGGGCTATGAGTGGTTAGGAGTCTGTGAGGTGGGTAGGGAGTCTGTAAGTGGGTAGGGGTGGTGTATGGTGGGTAGGTGGGCTGTGAGTGGGTAGGGGGACTGTGAGTGGGTAGGGGGGTTGTAAGGTGGGTAAGGGGCTGTGAGTATGTAGGGGGACTGTGAGTGAATAGGGGGGCTGTGAGTGGGTAATGGGGCTGTAAGTAGGTAGGGGAGTTGTAAGGTGGGTAGGAAGACTGTAAGTGGATAGGGGGTTCACTGACTCACTGATAGACAGACACACACTCATTCACTTACACATTCACTGAAAGACACACACACACTCATAGACACACACTGACAGATATACACACACAGACTCACTGACAGACAGACACACACACTCACACACACACACACACACTGACAGCCAGACACACACACACACACACACACATTTCCCCCCAACACTCACAGATAATTTTATTTTATTTTAATTTAATTCCTCCCTACCTTTGGGAGAGCTGGGTGGATTTTTTATCTGGGGTTCAGTGAAGCTGCTGGCTCTTTGGGCAGAAAGGCTGGCAGCAAGGCAGGCGGGTGGTCAGTTGAGGTCCAGGCAGGCGGTCAGCTGAGTTCCAGGCGGGTGACGAGGGAGCGCTGATTTGTGAGCTCTCCCTGCTCAGCTCCCTCACGAGCCGCAGAGTGATGCCTGGAGCCGGAATATGACGTCACATTCTGGCATCACTCTACAGCTCCCTCGCTGCCCGCCTGTACTTTAACTGGCCACTTGCCCCGAGGCTAACAAGGCAAACTCCTTGTTTGCGTCGTGGGCAAACAAGTCCAGCAGGACTACTAATGGGAACGTTGTTCCTGCTGTGGAAAAAGTGCAGGAACACCATTCACACGCGTTCCTGCAGGACTCGAGCCCTGTCTGAGTGATTGCCACTAGAGATGTTACTAGGAAGAAATTTAAACATTGCTTTTTTTCTGAAAATGCAATATTTACATTGAAAATCCTGCAGAGACTGACTATACTCACCAGAACCACTACATTAAGCTGTAGTTATTCTGGTTATAGTGTCCCTTTAATCATAAATCCAAATGCATTGGATAATTGCTGAATTTAAATGAATCCTGACTAATCAATTTAGATGACAATAACCTTTACATATCAATGTAAAGTAATAAAGGAAAAAATGCTGGCATAAAGAGAATTCAGCACAATTTTTATCTGAATAGATTACAGATTGACAGAGAGAGAATAAACACAACGTATAAAGGAACTTAGATTGTCTGAAAACCTGCAATTATATTCTGTCAAATTGTGTGCATGAGTAATTGCATTTCACTAATTGCTTTATTATGTTGTTCTATATCACAGGGAAAGTACCGCCATAAAATGAGCAGAAATATTGCTTTGACAACACACTGTTTGTATCTGTACAAACCATCACCAATCACCATTAAAAACTAATGACAGAGTACAAAAAAAGGTACATAAAAAAATAAAAAACCCCAATAAAGGCTCATTTTGCCAGCATCCTAATCTGGTCCAACGATATTGCTAGCTTCCAAAAATGAATCAGTGACTACTCATCTGAGGATCCACCCTTAATCAAACTCCAAACCTTATAGCCTCCACTCAAATGCTTCTCATAGGGAAGCATTGAATCCAATGCTTCCCTATGATCAGTATTGATGATGTTCAACATCAAACAACACATGACCAAATCGAATTCAGTCATTGCCATTGAAGCACCCTCTTGTGACTGTCAGAGTAACAGCCACTAGAGGAGTGTATAGTCCTGCAATGTAAACATTATAGTACCTGCAAAATGACAATGTTTTCTATAACAGGGCTAAAAGGGCAGGACCACTGCACCCAGACCACTTCTTTAAGGTGGTCTGGGTGACTATAGTGGTCTTCTAAAGTCATCATTTTCCAATTCAGATTTTGTAATTAGGACCTTGGTAATTCTCAATCACATCCCTTTTCACCTCAGTGTCACCATCTCTTCCTTGCCCCAGGGTTACTATGTCCCCATATCCCAGTGCTATCTTTTCTACATCACACCAATGTCATATTCCTCTCCTCACACCAGTGTTAAGAGCTCTCCGCGCCGGTCACGAATTCCCCCATATTGTCTCTTTTTTCCCAGTATCACAATCTTACTCGCTCCTAGGATTCTTTTGGTTTCACAATCCCCCCTCTTATGCTGATCTAAATGTTAGCATCCTTGCTTTGGTAGTCTAGTTGTGGCCGCTAGATAACATCCAAGGGTCGGACGCAGTTTTTCTTTTCCCAGTCCATTGTAGTAGTGTTTGCAGCCAAGGATTGTGAATTAGATACCTTTGCCAACCTACCTAATGACTCTAACAGAAGCTGGATCAATTGGTTTTCACTTACTTTATGACCAGGATGGAAGGAGCTCATAACCTCCATTAAACCTGAAAAAATAACTCTAGCAACTCTGTTCTCATCCCACTTCTATATTGTAGAATGTATGGAAAGTCTGAAAAAATCAACAGTTCCCACTATTGATCATAGAATCAGGTACATTACACCCACCTATCACCCCATGTTTTACAGAAAAAAAATTATTATAATAAAACATGACATATACAGCTCTTTGTGCTCTTATGTCCCTCTCTCTTGGGTTATGGGATAGATAAACTGCATTTAATGAACACATGGTTCTCTTAGACTCTCATAACTAGGAGAATGCCCCAAGCTACCAATACCCTCAATGAGAGAGAAGACTGTCCCATTCCCCTTTTCACTATCTCCTGCACAGATGGGTGGAGCTTATTAAAGAAGATAGTTCCCAAGGCCCAACCAGACTACAGGTTTTTCCTTCCACATCCCATGCGGAGACCCCTTTAATCCTAGCATTCATCATTCCCTGGTCTTTTGCATAGAGACTCTACATTCACCACACACCTGGATGGATTAGCTCCGAGAATGGCAAGCACTTTATCATCATAGAATAGGAATAACTGACAACATCTGTAGTTGATGTTCAAAACAGCAACTACATAAGTGGTGTGAGGATTTTGCTGCAGCAGTAATGGTTTTTATTATGCTGTACGTGGTGTGAGATTTGTTTGCAGGGACAGAATTTCTGGAGGTGCAGCAGGTGCAATGGACTTTAGGTGCCCACTCTTGGCCACCCATAGGAGAGTGAGAACAACCAAGGCCCCAGCAGAGGTGAGCTGAGTTAAGAGCACCCAGTTTTTTTTAATATCATGCAAGGTCCCATGAATGCCAGGAAGCAATGGATTCTGAGTCAGTTGCTGCCTCCATCTAGCCCTACCCCTTTTTACTCTAGAATGCAAGCTGCTTTCCTTGTGGAGTGATGGAGGACGCACAAGGTTTAGCCTGTTGGTCAGAAGAAGAGGACTTGCTGGAAAGATAACAAGGGGTGTTTGCTACCTTGGTACTTTAATTTTTCAAATTAATTTTATTTGTCTGCAAAATTAAAAAAATGTTATGTGCCTGTCAATAGAATGAGGTGGTGTCTGTGAAATGTTTGGTATGGTGTGGACTGCATGGAGTGTGTCTGAACTGCATAGAGTGGAGTGTGTCTGTGAATTGCATGGAGGGTATCTGTGAACTGCATAGACTGTCTCTGTGTAGTACATGGAAGGATTGTGTCTGTAAATAGCATGGGGATTTTCCATGATCTGCATGGAGTGTGTCTGTGAATTGCATGGAGGGTGTCTTCGAACTGCATAGACTGTCTCTGTGTAGTACATGGAAGGAGTGTGTCTGTAAATAGCATGGGGATTTTCCATGATCTGCATGGAGTGTGTCTGTGAATTGCATGGAGGGTGTCTTCGAACTGCATAGACTGTCTCTGTGTAGTACATGGAAGGAGTGTGTCTGTAAATAGCATGGGGATTTTCCATGATCTGCATGGAGTGTGTCTGTGAGCTGCATGGTGTGAGATTGTGTGTCTAAACTACACTTTGTGTGTGATGGCTCCTGAGCCATCAGTTGCACCTCTTCAGTCAGGGCTAGAAGAGGTCTCCAAGGAAGTGAGGGCAAAAATATGACAGGGGGGGGCGTGGCTAACCGCCGAGAGGAATGGACGTGTAACCCTTTCACTCCGGCAACACGGGTCGCAATCCGACTCCATCGAACGCAACACGGCGGCACAACTGCTTAAAAAACGAAGATGGCACAGCAGAGAGGCAAGAAGTCTGCACACAAAGCGGAAAAAATCAATTTCTTTGGACACAAGTCGCACCAGGAACCGGAGGAGGCTCGGGCCTGGTCGCAAGATGGCGGCTCCACTACTGACAGCCCTGAGAACACAGCAGCATTGCAGGAAAGTGATCCTGACATACTCACCAAGAGCTATTTACAACAAGCTCTGGACACCCTGTCAAGCAAGCTAATTACATCGTGGCAACATACAGCGGATTCGCTGAGGAAGGACATGCAAGAATTAGGCAAGCGCACCTCCCACATGGAGAACAAGATGGCAGAATTTGCTACAGCACACAATGACATAGCTTCTCATGTGGAACAACTGGAACAAAAATTACTGGCGGCGGAAAATAAAATAACTGACCTAGAGGACCGCGCACGCAGGAATAACCTGCGCATTAGAGGGATCCCAGAGGATGTTGTGCCGGAGAACCTGCAGGCATATGTCAGAGGCGTGTTTAACGCTTATGCTCCAGACATACCAACCGACATGTTACTCGTGGACCGAATACACCGTCTGCCTAGACCACGGTTCCTGCCAGAAACTGCACCGCGGGATGTACTACTGCGAATGCATTATTATCATATCAAAGAGCTTATACTCAAGTCAAGCAGAAATAAAGCAACACCACTAGAAGGTTACCCAAATCTGCTGATTTTTGCAGATCTATCGGCGTCTACTCTTCGCAGAAGGAAAGAGTTCGCTCAGGTCGCCAACTCCGTGAGGGCTCATGGCCTCAGATTCCGATGGGGCTTCCCTACCAAAATGTTGGTGACGAAAGATAACACCACCCAGGTTATCACATCACCTGAAGATGGACTCCGTAAACTACAATCCTGGGGATTTATGCACCAAAGACCGGAGCCTCACACCCCACCTGCCAGGCGCATCCCACTGGACTGGCACAAAGCATGAACTGCTGGACATACGCAAGTATAAATCTGATTATGCCTAGGCGCTTGCAATGGACTCGAGGGCTGGGGAAATATCCCAAGGTCTATATATACACTAAACAAAAAAAAAAAAAAAATGTTCAGGTTAACACGGATTGGTTATAACAAGTTAAATTACCTAGTTCCTTAAGGTTACTTAAGCTGGCAAGCAATACCTCCCCATCATTTGATGGAAGTATGGGGCTGAACCCCCCCCCCCTAGCAACCTGTAGCTTACGGGAGAGGCGATGAGTTGCAGAGGACACACACATTCTCTCCGTGTGCCTCATCAAGAGCATAATGTGAGGGCAACACTGTTACGCTGCTTAGTAAAATAATATAAAAAAAAATAAAATAAAAAAAAAAACAATTGGTATAACACAAGCACTGCTTATAATCAATAGATGCTCATTACCGCAACGAGCTCTCCCAGCTACTAGGGAGCAAGATGCTGTCCTACTGGATGTACTTACCAGCTGCTGATTATGACGAATATAAGTGTATATATATGTATTTACTACTATACCTGACAAAAATCTCTCCTAGTCCCATTACCGTTCACCCCCTTTCTCAATAGAATTGTACACACACCAAGAGCCTATACGACTATTAGTACTTACTACAGAGGTGGCCTGGTGCGACCGACCGTCTCCAAAGGTTAAGAGACAGCGGAAGACCCATAGCCATGACACGGAAACATGCTAGTTTCCACCCCCACGGTACTTACCACCAGTACCAAGACACATATATGTATATACTTTGTTTATGTTTCTACCCGGTTTACACCTCCCCAAGTTTTTGACCCCAGTCCCGCAAAGATAAGGAAGTCCAAGCCACTACCCATACCAGCTAAGATCACTATTACCCACACAGGGGCACTCTTGCCTGATATATGCACAACCAACAAACACACCCGACTAGAAGATACAATCAGAAGTAAATTAAAAACTCAGCGTCCAACCCATATAATAGTACACTATGAAAATATACTCACATAACGTGCGGGGACTGAACACCCCTCATAAACGCAGAGTTCTGTTAGAGGAAACTAAGAGGGCTAAAGTAGATATTATGTGCCTCCAGGAAACGCACTTTGTGCGGTGGAGAATACCAGAATTTGGGAAACAAGATTATCCGACGCAGTACCATACGACCTATTCTTCCAAAACAAGGGGAGTGTCCTTTTTGTTTCACAAATCGCTTACCTTTGAACTGCTAAATATTAAAACAGACGCACAAGGTCGGTACTTAATACTCCACTGTCAAATCAACAGAGCCATATATACCTTAGTAGGCATATACAGCCCTAACTCTAACCAGCGCAATGTTTTGCATAAAGTGCTGAGCAAATTACCCCATGAGCACAGAGCCGGCATCATAATATGTGGCGACATGAATCATATTCTCCAACCGACTATGGACACGACAGTGTCGTCTAACACTCCCAGACATAGATCCTTAATACCACAATGCAAAGCCATCACCAAGCTCTTACTTGACCACAATCTATATGACATATGGCGAACAAATCACCCGAGTGACAAAAGTTACACTTTCCACTCCAAGGTGCATGGAACCCACTCCAGAATAGACGTCATATTGGTGTCACAAGATTTGGTGCCCTCCACAACACAGAGTAGCATAGGGGACATAGTGTGGTCGGACCATGCTCCTGTAACCCTCATAACCCAGGATGCTTACAAGCACAGAGGGAAAACCCCGTGGCGATTAAATGACACCCTCCTATACAACGACACCTTTCAAAAGGAATTGGGGACTGAGATAGATAGATATTTTCAACTTAACAACCAACCTGACATATCACCTACTACATCTTGGCAGGCACATAAGGCAGTGATTAGAGGTCAGCTCATTAGCAGAGCGTCCTTCCTAAACAGGACCTCTCAACAGGCGCGCCTCACACTACTGACCAAACTGCGTGACCTAAAAGCAGCCCAGCTGCTACACCCCACCCCCGACCTCGACATTGAAATAGAACAAACTACAAATCAATTAAATGATCTCCTACTTCAAAAAACAGCGCGCACTTTACAAACACTCAAACTGAAGCATTACACCCAGGGAAACAGAGCGGGGAAAAAATTAGCATCTTTACTGAGGCATCACCAAGCCCACGCCAAAATACCATACTTACTCACTAGCACAGGAGAGAAAATATACAACCCCATAGCAGCAGCCTACTACCAAAACCTGTACAACTTAACAAAAGATCCCCAAACACATCAGCCAACACAAGTGGAAATTGATAACTTCCTATCGCAGATAAAATTGCCAAAATTAACACAACAACAGCAGGACTCCCTGATAGAACCGATCACACTGACAGAGTTACAGCAAACGATTCGCTCACTCCCTTCGGGGAAGTCACCAGGGCCCGATGGCTTCACGAACACTTACTACAAAGTCTTTTCGAACATCCTGAGCCCCTACCTAGTACACACACTGAACCATATTGTACACACAGGGAAGATGCCATTGGAAATGCTATTAGCACACATAGCCACGCTACCAAAGCCAGGGAAACCACCCACGCAACCTAAAAATTTAAGACCTATTTCACTGTTAAACACAGATACGAAACTATTAGCCAAAATATACGCCAATCGTGTAGCGGCCATAATCCCCTTTATTACACACCCGGATCAAGTGGGATTTGTAAGGGGGCGACAGGGGACTGACGGGACTAGGAAGCTCCACAGCCTCCTCTATAATGGGACGCCTCTCGGAGAGCCCAGGGTCTTTATGTCCCTGGACGCCGAGAAGGCGTTCGACAGACTTCACTGGAACTTCCTGAGAACTGTCCTACAAAAATTTGCATTCCCACAACAATTTCTATCCCTACTATTAGCACTATACTCCAAGCCATCAGCACAGGTTGCGAACGGCGGGTTCGTATCCAAGCCGCTCCTTATCACAAATGGAACACGGCAAGGATGCCCGCTCTCCCCGGCCTTATACATTCTTGCGTTAGAGCCATTAGCCCAAGCAATACGGGATAACAACCAAATCAGAGGTGTGGAAATTAAAAATAAAACATACAAAATAACGATGTTTGCAGATGACGTAATGCTCTCCCTGTCTGACCCACTCACCTCTATCTCAGAACTCCAGAATCTGCTGCAACAGTACAGCAATTGCTCATATTACAAATTAAACAGTTCTAAAATGCAAGCAATGAGTCTGCATGCACCTGCATTGCTGTATACAGCCTTGCAACAGAAATACCATTATGAATGGAGACAAGACCACCTAACTTTCTTGGGTATAAAATTCACGAGACTAGAAAGGAACTTACATCGGGAAAATTACGGCAAACTCCTCACATCCATAAAACAGCAGCTAGCGAATTGGAAAGGGAAATACATATCATGGATAGGTAGAATAGCAGCAGTCAAAATGAAAATTCTCCCGAGACTGCAATACATGTTCCGTACATTACAAATTAGGCTCTCAAAACATTCCTTCACGACGCACAAAAATTGATTAACACCTTTGTCTGGTCCCATAAGAAACCCAGAATAGCAGCAAAAATCATGTACCTCACATATAAAGGAGGGGGAATGGGATTACCACACATAGCCACGTACTACAGATCAGCTATACTCGCACCGTTGGTCAACGAATTACACCAACATGACAAACCATCCCCTTGGGTAACGGTAGAGGCTGACCTAACTGGGGGGCAAAAAATAACGCACCTAGCCTGGACACCGCCACAACTTAGAAAAAAATATAAAGATAT